AGAACATAAATCAACTTTCATCTTCCAAAATAGCCAAACGAGTCCCGTTCAAAATTCGTGCCAAAATCACTCACTAACTCAATTTTTCCAACAAAAACATTGTCAAGCATCGTTTTTTTTTTTAATCAAAGTTGATCTAAATCTAGGCATAAGTTTTTATGTTCCTGCCCAACCATAGTCGGGGAATTTGACACTATCCCTTACATGTAGAATAGTAATTTATCCTCTGTTTGGTTTGGATTAAAATTTCAAATCAAAATCAACAATTAATTTTAACCATACATTTTATGGAACTCACAATTTTTCAACTACACATTTCATCAACTTTTATCAAAATCCACTAAAAATCTAATTTCAGGACATGTCTGGAAGCGCTTTTTTATAATTTTTAGCAATTAATTGACCATTTTTTACTGCAGAATGAAACCCACTTTGGCAGCAAAATCTGACATTGTAAAAATGAACTACCGAAGAAGCTCATATGTCATGCAAAATGAATTAAATATTAAGGACAAAACCGTCATTATGTCATAAAATGGTCCAATATTGCGGTTGTCATGTCAGTCTTCATTGGAAAATGGTGAAAAGCAACGGTCCAAATTTTACTTGGCAATGGTGGAAATTTCAATTTTAAGTGCAACCAGACACACACTTAATCTCTATTAAACATGGGCTTAATATAGTATAACGAGAAGAACATTGCCCTTACCTCATCAATTACGGGAAGAGGAGAAAATAGAGTTTTTGGAATGAACATAAATGTGGAGGTAGCATCTGCATTACGAAGGGTAAAATTTATCTGCAGTCACTGAAGTTTTTCAAAAAAAAGAAAAAAAACCTCAGTTGCATTGCTAAAACTTGAATTTTCCCAGTCGTGTCCCTGAACTTCAACTTATTTTTAATTAGTTCACCACTCCAATTGTGTTCCAAATTGATTAGGAATTGCTTAATTGACAATTACACTCAAAAATGATCATCTACGAAATCATTTCGTGACATGTCGACTGATGACTACACCTAGTCACAAAAAGTGTTAAAAAAAAATAAACACGTATTTTAACCTTTTATCCTAAGACATTGATAGAACATTTATTTTATTATTTTTGTTTCGAGAATGTCTCGTAGCGATTATGTAGAAGATCTATTACGGTATCGTCCACTAGGCAATTTCTTCAATTTGAAGACAAGTGACGAAAAGCGACAGAGTGAATTTGAAACAAAATTGAAGTCTCAATTGAATTTTGACTAAAAGTTTTAGCCATTGCAGATGATATACAAACAGAAGTCATCTATAATATATTAAATATCACATCGAATGAGAATCATTTTTGGATAATTATAACCCTAGAACAATTCAATTATTTTAACAATATCTTACATGTCGTTTTTCAATATGTATTTAATTTACAAATTGTAATAAATGCTATAATTAATTATCAATTAATTGATATTCACATTCAATTAATTAATATTAAT